TTAATAACAAGCAATTTGGAAAGTCTACTGAAGTATAAGCATAAACATCAGCAAATGTGGAACAAATGTAAAAATGGTAAGAATGATAAGATTTTCTCATATGTATTTATTTTAGGTGTAGGAAGTTCGGACATATGAAAAATCAGTGTCCTAATATAAATACTCTTCTTGCAAAAGAAAAGAGTAAAAATAAGCTAATTATAATAATGGCAAATGATAAAAATAAAAGATCTCCTAGGCAGATCTAGCTTCTGAATCATCAAACTATGAGCACGATGATGAGGTATAAGTTTTGTTTGTGTGCTTATCTATGTTATAGTTAATGTATGTATACATATTCTTTATTTTATTTTTATTCAATGTGAATATTTTTATTTTCTTTATTGTTTCAGAGTTTTGTTATTTATATTTGTAATTTATTTTATTTTATTTTCATGAATGTTTTTTAGAACACCCTCTGATCATCACCCACAAATCACATCTCATATTTTATTTGCATAAGAAAATCAATCACTCATATTTATTAAAAAATGAAAAATTTATCTTCTTTTTACTTAAAATTTTTTATAAGTAATTATTGACTTCTCTAAATAGTTAAAATAAGAAAATTTGATGATTATACATCTTCCTCTACTCCTTTAGTGGTGTAATTTTTTTTTTTTTTTGAATAAAAAAATATTTCAAATTAAAAATTAGACCAATAAATAGAAATATGTTTCTTCTTCCTACAGTTCTCTATCTCATTTGAATATTTTTGTAAATCAATGAATCTAATTCAAATTTTCTTATTCCAGTAATATGTATATATCATATGGATTAGATTTTGATTTATGGTTTATTATTTTCTATAAAAGAGAGTGAGTTCATCTTCTCTTATATTTGAAAGAAAATCTTACAACTGAGAATTTTTTAAAAACTTAAAAAAGGAAGCAAGCTGGCAAAAACTAAAAAGAGACACAAAATGAAAAGATGCACAATATCCGCCAAATAATTACAAGATGCACAAAGTGTATCAAAAAATTAAAAGATGCATAAAGTGCACTAAAATTGATAAAGAGGCATAAAATGAGCCCATAATAAGTTAGCTTCCCTTCTTGTCAAGTCTTTAAATCTTAAATAAATCCATGTGCCCATTGATATCATCCAAACTTGAAATTGAAAATTATGATTTTTGGTTCATCATTTTGCAATGCTATTCTCCTGAGATATATTTTTGAAAAGAAGCTTGAAAAGATTATATTTCATTTTTAATTTATTTTTTGAGATATATTATTATTATTATTATTTAAAAAAGAACTTTAACCTATAAGGAGCTTGAGCTAGAGTTGATAAGCTTTAAAATTCCAATCTTTTTGAATCTTAGTGAGGTCAATTCATTTCTTATTAAGCTTTTGAATAAAATTATGATGTAACTTTCTCATTTCGAAAAAAATTGCTAAAATTAATTGATTTTTCTCTAACATTACCATCACCTCCACCTGATCAGGGTCGGTTTGATCTTTTGTATTTGTTTCATTTTTTTGTTATTTGTTTCTTTTTTGTTCTTCTCTTATTTTTGATAATGTTAAAGGGGAAGAACGTATTTATCTGATTGCATTTATTTATCTTCTATTTACAGTTGTTTATATGTTATTTCAGTTTACTTTTTTATTGCTTAGTTTCTTAATTTAATTTGTCTTAAGTTAAAAATATATATATTTTTGGTATCCCTTATTTTTTAAATTATCTTAATGAGGGGGAGATTAGAAAAAAATATTTTTAAATTTATAAATTAAATCAATAATATTTTTCATCATGAAAAAGAGTAGATTATTACAACTCGAGCTCATGAGTTTATATTTTTTTATGATAGCAAATATTGTGGCTCACATGCTTATGTCTAATTGTATTTGCAATGTATATTTTCTTGTGTGTATACTAACATTTCATGAATGTCATGCACCACCCAATGAAGGTGTAAGGCTCAAGCTTGGGTAGAATAGGTCATGCTGTAAAGATTTTTGTAATATTCATTGATGTATTTTTTATTTTTTAGGTCAAGTCCTATAAGGGTGTATGCTTGTTTGGTGACCACGCACACACATATTTACAAATATACTCAAAATGTTTATAATCTTGACCTCTATAATATATAAAAAATTACGTGATGAAATTTTTGCCAATATAAAATTTATTCATGTTCTTTGGTAATGAAAACACAAATTTGATCAAAAAAATACCAAAAACACAAAATCTTTAAAATTAGAAATAGGGTTAAGGTTACTTACATCGATATGAGTAAATCTCTCAACTGGGCTAATTGAAATAGAGTCGTCATTCTTTGCCCGTCGGCACATTAATAAACTCCTTATAACTCTCATCCAGTGTATCACATGAATTACTATTGGACAACACCAAATCACTTTATTTAAGGAGAGATTGCCGGCTCACCATCTTGTATAGGTCAATAAGTTTTCAATCAATGGGTCAACTAGTTTTTGCTTGTCTTTTACACGATACACACATTATTATCATAATATTATAACAATAATAACGACTAGTTATTACTTAAGCACATATCCATATTTATTTATAATATATTGCAGCAAATAAAATACAATTGAGCATAAGTTAGAAAATGTCAAAATGTACTAACAGTAGATAACAAAAATCATACTGAACAAAAATTCAAATTTTTAGAATTTGACTAAATTATCAAATATTGTATAAAATAACAATCTGAAGTTTTAGTTGAACTAAATCACTATTTTTAGACATCAAAATAAATTTTTGAGTTGACAAAAATTGATGTTTTTTTTTTAAATCACCCAGTGAAAAATTTTAAATAAATACTCAAAACGATAATAATCTCGATCTTTATAGCACACAAAAAGTTGCATAGAGAAAGTTTTGTCAATATAAAGTTATTCAGGTTTTTCGGTAATGGAAATATAAATTTGATTTGAAAAATGTCAAAACACAAAATCTTTGAAATTAAAATAGGGTAAAGATTCGTTACAGCGAGACGAGTAAATCTCCCAACTGGGCTGACCGATAAAAATTGCTCCGCGACTTTTAAATCTTAGATTTTATTTCTCTTATATATTTTCTCTAAAAATCCTAAGCCGTCTCTTTGTTATGCCGTTTGAGGAAAAGAAAGCAAGTAAAATAAAGTTATAATGCTTTATGATATTTTATTATAAATATTAATATAATATTTAATTTAATTGATTCTTTAGTAGAAAATTCAAATAAATCATTTTATTAAAAAAATATCGATGAAATTTGTTTACAAAACGGACACCTAACAATCCTAAAATCCGCACTTATACTGACAGGTGCCAATTTCTTAAGGAATTTCACGGCGCCCAAAAATTAAAAAAAAAAAAAAACGTACAAGTAAAATATTACAATGACAACACTATGGCGAAAATAATTTGCAATTTGGAGTTATATCGACTCCTGACTGCAGAAAAAAAAAATATTTACCTCGATCAAAGTACTAGTTATTACAAGAGTATATACCATCTCCAAGCATTCTATATCAATATCAATTTAGAATATTAGCATCAGTTACGTATAATAATCACATGCTCATTGCATCCAGTATAGCATATAATAAATACTTATAAATCGGCAAAAAATAATGGTATTAATAAATCAATATCAAAATTAGTGAATCAATAATAATATCATCAGTGATAGTAATAGTAGAGTTGTGCTTTAATAGTAATAATAATAGTAGATCCATACAGTAATAGTAAATATGTACAATAATATTAAGGTCATATCATAATAGTGTATCAATAACATGCATTCTAATAATCACACTAAATAAGTAAAAACATTTAGCTTATACAGTGTTTTTCCAATAATTAGTATATGTTGGCTCTATAAATAGACTCGTCACTATTTTTACCCTTCTGCATAAAAATAACTCATAACTCCCTATCATTGTAATAAAATAAACACTAATTATTTTTCAGGCTATTTACATGCAAGATGCAATATTTTCGCTTCCTGTTATATATCCTCTTATGCTAATGTAACTTTAATATTTTGGAGCTATTCCATGAAAAATATTAAGAAATAATAATAATTATTATTATTATTATTATTATTATTATTATTATTATTATATTTCAATACAATTAACGGATGCTTACAGATAATTCAAAAAAAAAAAAAGAATTCCATAAAAGATATAAATTTGTATCAAAAAAAAAAATCACAAAACCTAACCCTATTATATAATACATTATGCATGTAAGATTACATAACTCTACAATATTAGAAGCAGTAATTTGATCTCTTATGGCTGCAATAGAGATTATGAAAGAAATAATAGAGGATCGTGTAGTTGCAGCTGCATAATCTTTTCAAGCGGAAGGTTGAGATAATTCAGTTTTGGCTATGTGATGTTGATGAGTGTAGAACAGTAAATTTGACAGCTCTCTCAAGGTGAAATTATTCTATGTGGATGCCAAAAACGTCATTTGAAGACCAGTCAAAATGCACCACATCGTCCCCTGCTCAATACTTGGCTCGATACCAAGCTCGGTACCATTGACGTGATGCATTATGATTGATCTCCAAACAATAAACTGCATTCGACGTCCGCACAAAATAATCAATCTCTCCCCCCTGTGAGAGTGGCATTGCACAGTTTTTAGCAAATAGGACTTATAAATGAGCTTGTGATTAAGCAAGCTTGGCCACCAAGTTGACTCAATTTTTGCTCTAACGAGTTCGATTCATATTCAATTACAAATCTAAAAAGTATTTGTGCAAATTCAAAATCATATGCATATCAAATTATATTAAAATTAAACAATTAATGGAGCTCAATTCCGAAGAGAAGTTGACCAAGAACTTTTTTAATACCAAAAAAATAAAGCTTTTTCGCTATTCAGTCATAATATATTATAGGCTGAAAACAATATAGATTTAATGATAACAAATAGAGAAAAATAACAATGCTGCATTCAAAATCAATACAACTTTAATAAAACCCAAAATCAAAGCAAACTATAGCACTTAAAAAATAAGCTACTTATTTCATCTTTTAATCAACCAGCATTCTACAAAAAAAAAGGGACAGCAAGAATTATTGAGGCTGCCCATTCCCCTTCCTCCCCCAGCAGTAAATGCACAAGAGATAAAGAAAAGAAAATCAAACAAAAAATAACTTGAAAACAAGGCTTCCTCTACTGAAACAGATTAAAAAAAAAAAAATACAAAGTTCTATAATACAAGTGCCACCCAAAACGTGGGTTGGGTAGCAATGCAATGCATGATAAATCAAAGAATTGGCATCATATCGCAATGGTTCGAACCATTGAATCCAAACCATCTTCTTCCAAAGGGAAGATCTGGAGCTTGGTTACCGGATCTCGAGCTGAGTTTAATGGTCTAAGAGATTTTGCTTCCTTCAGATCATTTTGCGTAGCAAAGATTGGCAGTAAATGGTTGGATCAACAAAAATTACCTCAAGTGAAGTTGATGCCTTCCTCTGCAATCACCAGAAACTGGTATAGAAGCAAGCTTTTTGATGAGAAAACAGCCCAGCCATTACTCCAGCTCATACAACAGAGTTTACAGCAGATCCTTGTGTGTATTCTTATACTACAATTAGTTGTCTGCTCCTTGTAGCTCTGCAGCTCTCTGTCTCATCATCTCCATCACAGCAGCTCTGCGTCTGGATTCAGACTGCTGCTGCAATCTCTTAAGATGTTCCTTCAAATCCCTGAATTTGCAGCAGAAGCATCAAGAAAAAATTCATTAAGCATATATAGTTCAAATTAGAAGATAGTTGAAAGTAAATTTGAGATCCAACAGCTCACTTGCAACGCGGCACATTGCATTCCGATTCCTTGCAGGCTCGAGCATGGAGTTGCAACAAATACCACATCCTTTTGCAGAGAAGGCAACCTCCAGAAGCTCGAGTTTTGCATTGAATGCCGTGACGAAAAAGCCCTTTAACTCTACGACAGTTGGGGTACTGGCAATGCGGAAAACGACACTGAGAAGCATGAACCAGAAGATCAAGCATTTTCCGGAGCTGCACCATACAAAAATTGTATGACAATAATGTTCGCATGCTATAGCTGAAATCATGAAACAACGGTGTGGGGGGGCGGGGGACAAGAAATATGATGAAATCTGACCGCTTATACTGTGTTATTACGCACCAAACATGTCTTTGCTGCTACTAATCCCAACAGGATAGTAAATCTAGCCTACTTGTTGTATATACAAATAAACCTATGACCGGTACGGGAAGAATGGTCCCAGATACCATACAAAAAAATGGTACCAGCCCACCTCACTTCCTTTTTCACTTCAAAAGTGGAGAACAAACTTAAACTAGCAACAAAACTTGAATGAAAAGCAGAGTAAATTATGATTGTTATGGATTGGGCTAGCCACTTCTTATGCACATCATAGATATACAAATAAACCGTTGAGCATTAGCTTATTAGGTTATGAATAGTTATGAAAGAACGTTATCCTATCTACAACCTTCATCGCTACCATTTGCCACTGCAATATCTAAAGCAATTTCCTCCCAAAACTTTGACCAAATCGAGGACTCTATGATGCACCAAAGAAGATGAGATCTCCAAATATGCAACTTTCCTATCGCTTAAATGGGAAAAATTATTTGAAGTGGTCTCAATTTATGAAGACTTACTTGAAAGGGAAAGGAAAGTAAAATCACCTTGGGGTAGGACCAAAAGAAGGGATGAAGCGGAATTCATGATTATGTTATGGTTGTGGAATTCTAAGACTCCAGAAATTAATAATACTTTTATGTTCCTATATACTGCAAAGGATATATGGGATGTAGCCAGACAAATCTTCTCAAAAGCTCGGGATGCTGCCCAGATCTTTGAAATTAAGGTTAAGGTGGGAGGCACAAAACAAGGACGCAAAACTGCAACGGAATATGTCACTCTCCTTCAAAACTACTCGCAAGAACTTGATCATTACATGCGCGTAAAGACCAAGTGTCCAGAAAATGCTATTATCTTGAAAACTTTATTGAGAAAAATAAAGTGTATGACTTTCATGCAAGATTAAAAGAGGAGTTTGATCAAGTTAGGGCTCAGATCCTTAAAAAAGTGGAGACACCTTCATTAAACAAGACTATTTCTCTCATTCATGCTGAGGAAAGCCGACGAGAGATAATGCTAGAGCCAAAGGTAGTTGAAGGTTCAGCAATTGTGTCAACCAAAGAGGCGCCGATGAAGAAAAAAGGTAAGGATTCATCAAAACATAACGACAAAGACACCCATTGGTGCAATTATTGCAAGAAATCAAGACACACAAAGGAGAGATGCTAGAAGATACATGAAATGCCCCCAAGTAAGGAGTAGAATCAAAGAAGTGGACAAAAGGACAAATCTAAAGCCAACACTACAACAAATCAACCTAACCCAAAAACGCGGTCTAGCTTCAGTGGTCTCAATAAAAAAGATATTGATAAACTAAAAAAAACTTATGGCATCCCTTGAAAAATCACCTGCATCTTCTTCTCTTGCACTTTCAGTTAAGTTTTCTATATCCATTGGATTAAGTGCCTCTAGAAATCATTTGAAAGGATTATGGATTATTGACTCAAGAGCCACAGATCACATGAACACTCCACTACCCATTTCATCAACCATACTTCTTAACCAAGTGACAAGAAAATCATCATTGCTGATAATTTTCTTACATTAGTAGCAGGCCAAGGATACATACACTTATATCCCTCCCTCACTCTAAAAAATGTGCTCCATCTACCTCAATTATCCACAAACTTAATCTTAATACAAAAACTTACTAGTGACTATAATTGTCAAGACTTATTAACCCTACTTGTTGCTTATTTTATGATCGAAGATCGGAGAAGAAGATTGGACTTGCAAAAGAAAGAGATGGATTATACTACTTAGAAGAGCTGAACAAATCTAATATTATCAATAATGATCATTCTATGTTATTACTATTTGATAAAAAATCTACAATTTGGCTTCACCATTTTAGATTAAGACATCAATCTTTTGATGTCTTAAGAAATATTTACGCATAACTTTTTATAAGTTGGAAAAGGAATCTTTTCATTATGAAACCTGTGAGTTAGTCAAGCATAAATGAGTTTCTTTTCCAAACAAACATGGGAGATGTAATTCTCCTTTTTACCTTATTCATAGTAATATTTGGGGACCCCAAAAACATCCCTAACATCTCAGGAGCCTGATGGTTTGTATCCTTCATTGATGACTACGCTCGAGTCTCTTGGATCATTCTCCTAAAAAATAAATCTGATATTATCACTATCCTCATTTTTTTTACCATGATCCGGAACCAATTCGAGGTAAAAATAAAAAAAATTTGTTCAAACAATGCTAAAGATTACTTTAACCAAACCCTATCACCGTACTTATAGAAAGAAGGTATCATTCCTGAGTCTTCCTGCATTCACACCCCACAACGAAATGGGATTGCAGAAAGGAAAAATGATTACCTTCAAGCCTCTACTCATGCACTTTTATTCCACCATAATGTACCCAAATCCTTTTAGAGGGAAGCCCTTCCGACTGTCACATATCTCATAAATTGACTACCTTCCAAAACCTTGGGACTAAAACACTAATGCATATTACATCCTCTTTTTACCCTGAATTTTGAACTCATATAACCTTACACCCATAATATTTGGGTGCACTATCAATGTTCACATTCATAGCAAAATAAAGGAAAATTTGATCCAAATAGCACTCAAATACATCTTTGTTGTATATTCCTCCACCCAAAAAGGTTATATGTATTATCATCCCTCCACTAAGAAAACTCTTGTACCCATTGGCGTTACCTTTAATCAGCAAAAATCCTATTTCATCAAACCTCATCTTCAGGGGAGATTGAAACTGAGGAAGATGAGGAAAGTGAGCTTGCCCCTCTTGACCTTCTAGCTCCACCTCAAATAAAAAGTCAGGGAAATTGAGGACAAAGTTATTATATAGATAACAGGAGATCTGGTCAAGTGTATTACGGGCGTACAAATCTAAATTATGCTCCAGAGAAGATTCAAGAATTTGAACCATCTCCTGAAATTGAGGCAAACACAATTTCACCAAAAAAACGTCCCTTGTATCCTATAACACACTTTGTATTCTTCCATAACTTTTCACCTTCACATAATTTTTTTTACACTAAATAATATGCATATTCCTATTGATATTTCTGAGGCCTTATCTAATGAAAATTAAAAAAGTTCCACGAAAGATGAAATGCATGCCCTGGAGAAGAACAATACATGAGAGATCACTAAACCTACCAATAGGAAAAAAACAAGTTGGTTGCAAATGGGCGTTCTCTGTGAAATACAAAGTTGATGGTAAATTGGAAAGGTATAAAGCAAGACTGCGAAAGGGTACATTCAAACATACAACATTGACTACTAGGAAACTTTTGTACCGGTGACCAAGATGAATACAGTGAGGATCTTGCTCTGACTAGCAGCTAATTACAACTGGTATCTAGAACAGCTAGATGTAAAAATGCATTCCTACACGAGAACTTGGAAGAATAAATATTTATGAATATTCCACTAGGATTCAAAGAAAAATCTGAAAGTAACAATATGTGCAGGTTAAAAAAAAGCTCTATATGGACTAAAGTAGTCATCTAAAGCTTGATTTGAATATTCTCAAAAGTTATGCTACTTAATAGTTATCAGCATAGCCAATGGGACCATACATTATTATTCAAGCACTCAAACTCAGGGGAAGTCACAATTCTATTAGTTTATGAGGATGATACCATCTTGGCTATGAATGTTGAATAGGAGAAAGTGATTTTAAAGAAATGTCTTATCAAAGAATTTGAGATCAAAGATCTTGGTAGATTAATTTTTTTTTTTGGAATTGAAATAACCCACTCTAGCAAAGAAATCTTCATTTCATAACAAAATTACATTAATAATCTTCTTAAAGAATCATGTAACTAGCTTATATATCGGCACCAACACCAATAGAACTAAATCTCAAATTGGGGGAAGTCAACGAAGATAAAAATGTAGATAAATGATCTTACGAGAGATTGGTGGGGAAATTAATCTACCTTTCCCACACCATACCAAATATAGCATTTGTAGTAAGCATGGTCAGCTAGTTCATGCAAAATTCAAAGCATACTCACGTGCAAGCTGTAGACAGAATACTACACTTCCTTAAGGGGAATCTAGGTAAAGAGATTCTCTTTAGAAGAGACTGTGGAATAATTCCAAAAGCATGTACTGATGCAGATTATGCAAGATCACTAGTAGATAGACGATCAACCTCAGGATACTACACATTCCTGAGAGGAAAGCTTGTTACATGGAGGAGCAAGAAACAAAATGTGATGGCAAAGTCTAGTGCATAAGCAAAATAAAGAGTTATGGTCTTGGGAATATGTGAAATTCTATGGATCAAGATGTTTCTAGAATACCTAAGGATTAAGTGGGAAGGACCCATGAAGCTACACATTGACAACAAATCAAATATTGAGCATAGCTCATAATCCGATTCAACATGATAAGACCAAGCACATAGAAGTTGACAGATATTTGATAAAGGAGAAATTAGATAGTGGTCTTATATGTATCGATCATGTCCATCAAAAGATCAGCTTGCAGATATTCTTACGAAGGGACTCGATAACTCTATCTTTCTAGGACTGATTACTAAGCTAGGGATGACAGATATATATTGTTCAGCTTGAGGGGGGAATGTTAAATCCTAGCCATCCCTTGGCATTTTGATCCCATAGCCAAGATGGAAATCCATGGGAGGGTCACCTTTTAAATCCCATCCATCATTTGGCATTTTAATCCCACGGCTAGGATGGGAATCCGTGGGAGACTAATCTATTAAATCACAACCATCCCTTAGCATTTTGATCTCACGGCTAGATGGGAATCCATGGAAGACTCACCTGGATAGCGCCGATCTCCTTCCATATTTAGTTGGCTGATTTAGGAAGGATTATATTAGAGCAATTACGCATGATTTTGTAATTATTTGTTTATTTATTAAGATATCTTATATAGATATATAAATAGGGACAAGTTAATGCAATTTTCCCTCTCCAATTCTCTGAATTTAACAGTACTTTAGAAAACAAAGAATGTTCAAACCAGATTAAGTTTGACTATGTGACTTCCATTTGTTGGTAAGCTTAGAGAATACTGCAACTCCTCAAAATCGCCTATTAATAGCTGATGTTGGTACCCGTCATAAATAACAAAAAAAAAAGAGACAATCATAGTTTAACAAGCCTGGGCTCCAAATAGTTGCAACAGAAGATTATTGACAGTTGTCTACATAACAACTCAAAGATCAAATAATCACCCAACAACCAAAACAGGACTGACAAACAAAACAAGTTTCAATATTGGACAAGAATGCCGCTGCTGGATGAGGAGCAGACAACGAAACAAAGCAATTAGCAAGTCAACATTGAAAGGATAGAAGCTCAACAGAAGTAAACAACGATGTTCACATTCGGCTGAGTGGACAATGACATGCAATTTTATAGAAAATACAAAAGTATTTTCATACATGAGAACAGAGAAAAAATTCAAGTCATTACAGAAACTAAATGATGGTATTCATGGACAAAGTAATCAGAGTTCATAATATGATAATAATACGCATAAGAGAAAATTAGAGAGATAGTAATATATATATTCAGAAGATCAAGTACAGGTTCTTTGTTAATAATCTATGAAATTAATATCTCAACAAAATATAAAAGATTATCTTAGCAACAGGAGCTATGGGGAGGAAAAATCATTTTGCAAAAGATGATTTATTGACAACAGTTGACTTAAGAAGTCATCAGAATCTGAGAATCAATATAAAATAAAAAAAAATGATTGCAGAACGCAGTACCTGCAGTACACGTTTTTGTCGTGCTTCTTGACTTTGGGCATCACGATCAGCATTAGAAGGATGATTAGTCAACTTATGAGGATGGTCAATACCACCATCTCTCTGGTAACAAGCATTGCATACATCAAAATCAGGGCAAACCTCACAACGCCAACCATGACCAGTTTCAATATCATGGTGGCACACATTGCAAGAGGTGACAAATGCAGGGGCAGTCGGATTATGAAGGTGATACAAGACCATCATAGAAGAATGCTTAGCCCTACGTAATGTGTCATACTGGTAATGGTTCCCTTGACAAAGACTCAAGAATGCCTGTCTAGTGTCGAAAAATTCACTTTCAACCATCTCATCCTTGTCTTTCGTATCAGCAAGCACATCAGTGATGTCAATCTGCTCGATTGATTATGTAAACGTTAGTATCATTGAATAGTTGATCACATAAAGGGGTCAGGGAAACTTACTGCGAATAGTTCATGCCTCTCCCTACTATTGACAGGATGCTTATCCCTCTCTTCAAGTTTTTGTTCTGCCTCATAACACCTGGAAAAACATTTACTTTGTCAAACGCAGGAAAGCTTAACAGCAAATGTTCGACTGCTAATAATAACATCTATAATGTGATCCTTCTTTAATTATAATATCACTACATATTACAATGAAGTAAAACACGTCGTGGAATATAACATTAAGCTGATATTGATGCAAAAAATAGGCGGTATTAAGTTGGAGAGGGCAGGGATCTTGTGTAAAACGAGTTTAAGAGGTAATTTAGCTTGGACTTTTGCAGTAGAATTTAGGTTAATTGAAGTTGAGCATTACGATGAGTTAACGTTTGCTCAGCCAAGAATAGATTTGGTTACAGTTTTGACCAAAATAAGATTAGGTGAAAAAGCAGGAATGAATTGGAGAATCATTTCCATTATGGGGTACGAAATGAGATCTCTTGCTTGGATTGGAATCATAGATTCTCAGACAACTGTAATATCCATCATTAAAATTTTCACACATTCATAGCATTCTCCTTTTAGGTGTAACCATTTCTGTAGCGTTGGAGTTCTTCGGGATTTTTTCTAAGCGTGTATAAAATTTTCCACGCTTCCCTTTTTTCCATGGAGCTTCCAAAATCATAACTCAATACACAGCTTGGTGGCAATCCACAAACAAAATTTAGATCTTCCAAAAAACAATGAGAGAGAAGCACAACCCCTTGGGTTTGCGGTGGATATTGGAGCAAGAACTTATCTCTCTATTCAAAATAATCATCATAACCATGGCATGACATTGAACCTTTATGACATGGTCCCCATTAAAATGCTAATAAGATAACAATTACGAAAATACCAAACTTGTAAAAAAGAAAACAAAGTATACTTTTACTCGTGACAGTTGAAATAAAGGTAACTGAGGACATAAAACATAAACCAACAAATAACATAACATATACATAAATGTGACAACAAAAACAAATGATAGAAAATAAGGAAAAAATGATCAAATCAAAGAAATATTTGCTAATTATTGTTTGCAATGGTTTACATAAGTTAGAAATAAGATCTGACCAAACAGTTGATAAAAGGCTATTGATAAGATTTATTCACAATGATGATAATATGTCAATGAGGACCACAGCAATATTAAGGACGTCAGCGAAACGAAATCCATATAGTTTCCAAGTTTTCTCTGGTTAATTACTAAGTGCTAATTCTAATCTCCATGACTAAACTACAACTGATCACAAAAATGAGAGATATTTAACAAAAACAACATGAAAACAGAGGAACTTACTTATCACAAATCTGGAAATGTTTGCATAGATTGCAAACCCAACGATTTCCCGAAACCATCAAAATACAGCAGTGTGTGCATGCATGTTGAAGATGAACCATAATAAAATCTTCTTTCATGGGAGAGATTGTTTCCCCAAGCTGTGCAGTTAGAAGTAACAATAGAAAAACTTAAAACATTTGGCTAAGAGTCTGAACAACAACTGAATTAATCTACTCAAAAATATTCTCAAGTAAATCAGAGCTAGGAGCAAACACCACTGAAGATCGGACAAACTTGAATAACTCGTCAAAATGTTGCATCTAACTCTCACTTAAATAGAGCACATAAAAAAGAAGAAATAGAGGTCAACTTCACCAACAAAAATAATACCTTTTGCATTAGCAAAGCATCTTTAGATGCATTACAACCAAGATCAGTATGACCAGCAGCTTTTAAGGCCCTTTTTGTCAAGGTCATTTTCGTTTTTCCTTTCTTCTGTTGCTTTCTACCATCTTCCTCTTGACGAAGCTGATTGATCATGTCCTCTGCAGCACCTGGCCAATAATCACCATCAAAATAAGGCAACCGCGCTGCAGTGACCTTGGCCTTGCTTTCTCCAGTAGATACAAAGAAATGGTCATATAAATTAGTGAGACCAACAACAACATTTTCCTTGGAAGCTTTACGAAGCATTGACAAATACCTGAAAAAGCATCTATCAATAAAACCACGCATGCTGAATTTGTACATCGGTATGAACATTAAATCTTCCACTCACCATTCCCTTAGCTTGTCAGATTTTGGTGTCTTCTGAATCTCAGGGTGGCAATATAGGATATAATCTTCACCTTTTAAGGGAGGACAAGCCCATATGTAGCAACTAGTGAACCCACGCTTTTTACAGTAATCAAGATATCCAATCTGCAAAAATCGAGCCACAACATTTTAGAATAAAACAATAAAACAATAAAACAAAGCTATTATGATTAAATAAAATTTGAAGGATAGATTAGAGAAATTATTATTATCACAAGAATGATCTTAAGATAATATATTGGTCAATAAGCATAGAGGGCAACAGAGTGAAGAAGGTTAGGAAAGATAAGAAAATAAGATAAAATTAATCTAGAAAGATTAGGAAAACAAAGAGAACAAAGAGACCAAAAGATAGCAGCGCTACATAGCATGCAAAAAGATTTAAGAAAAAAATTAACCCCTCACGCAACACTCAACAAAAAAGAATGAAGAATGAGGATTCATAGCTGAGGCTCAAAAAAATTAGAATAAAATGAATGATAATTCATCATCTCATAATAGCCCGCATTTAAAAAAAAAACTGTAAAAGTAACAGAATCAAATGTTCACCAAATAAGAAAACACATTTTAACCAAAAAGGGAATAGTTAACAGAAAAAATAAGCATGCTGAGGAATAAAATTTTTTAAAATCGTACCAGAATTTCATGATAAACAAAAGTCCTCAAAGCTTCACCAGTTACGGTTTTAATTTCAGGTCTGAAGTATTTCACTGAATCCAAATAAGAAAGATATACACGCCTCTGGTTGGGGAATTGACATTCTGAACCAAATTCCTGGACATACATGCCAAAAAGGCACACTTCTACGCCCTCTATCTTCTGAAACAGTAATATAACCTGCATATAAATTTGATGAGTGCACCAGAAAGAATTGTTGATGCCATTCTACACTTTGCTAGTGGCAAACAAAGCAATCTACATATCCACCCAAGCTAAAAAGTTCCTGTTAGAAATAAATCCCACAGGTGGCATGAGGGAGCATTTTTTTGTACCTTCGACTTATATGGAAACTCTGTTGGGTAATTTTCCTCCTGAAAAATCTCCAAAAAACGTTGCTTGACTTCCAACTTTTTGTCAACTGATGATACAACCCTCACAACTAGCGCTTCTGCTCCTGGTACCTGAATATAAGCAAAAAAAATTCAGGTCAGAAAATTGAGGAATATGCACTAATAAGCAATCAGTCAACAAAATTAGCAATATTTTTAATTCACTTACTGTAAACGAATCATTTCTATATGGACATTTGAGAAAAAAATCCACAAATTAAGGGAAAGAATAAAAAATACAAGAGTAATTGTTGTTTTTGTGACAATGCAGTAATATGAATTTCATCAAACTATAATAGAAGACATTTCTCTATTCAATGAAATGAAGGTAAAATAAAAGGCTCTTCCACAATATTTGGTCAGCACAGATAGTATAATGTTCAGAAACAAGCAGATGAATAGAAATAAGTATCAGAGTTACAATTTGATATAGATTAACAACAAGCTTCAGACAAACTATGTTCCATACGCCAAGTATAACAACTTTCAATAATAATTTATGAGAAAAGGATCAAAATAATCCCTCAACTCATTGTGAGGAACCAAAATGGTCTCCAACTATTTTGAGGGACCAATGTGGTCCCTCAACTCCTACAAATAGGACCTTTTTGATATAGTCATCTAATGGTAGAGTTGATGGTGTTAAGTATGAGGGTAATTTGGTCTTTTTTAATTAAAAATTTTAATAAAGGTAATTTTTTAGGGATTATAATTTTTGTGAAAAATTAAATTAAACTTTCTTCAGTAAAAAAATTATAAATAATTTTAATTTTAATTATTTCAAAATTTTAAATTTTAATTTTAATATACTCATCTCAGCAACTCTTAGTGTCTGTTCGGCAAAAGTAGAATTTTACTTTAGTAGGATTATAGTTAACAAATTATAATGATAAATAATTTAATCCGAAATTAGCTTAATTATTAAATAATTTAATTACTAGTTATAGAATTATTCATTAAATTGCTTGTAGATGTCTTAATTTAATAAATTTTTGATATATAATTAAATTAATAATTATCAAATTAATTCCCTTCTTATCGGATCAAAAGTTACGACATTTTGATCGGAAGCAACGATGGGAGCTCGCTCGCTGTGAAGGTGACTTTCTCCCTTCCGCGCGCTTCTTTGACCAAATCCCATAAATCCGTCGAACTACAGGATTTAGTAAATCCGAGATTTACGGCAAAAAGAGAAACAGAGGATTTATTCCACCATGAGATTTACAGGGCGCTCAAATTCAGTTAGGTGAGTTAAACAGTGGTAAATCCATAGCTAAGTCCTCCTTCAAGGCTGCGAGACACTGGGATCGACGCTATGAGACGTGATCGACACTGCAGGACTGCAGGATCGATGCAATGCGCTGCGAGACACTAGGAGCCATGGCCGTAGGGGAGCTTGATGCGCTGCGGGCCAGTGCTCTGTGCTATTGGATGCTGGATTTGCCCCTGGGATGGGTTGCTCAGTTGCTGGGGTCGAAGGACTTGGCTAATATGCTGCTCTGGATTGCATTACAGGATGATCTCCTAAAACATTATTTGCTTATTCCGATAATGCCCTCGTGCTCATCTCACTTTTACGTTTAAAATTGACAGCAAGACCAAAAAAGTCTTATTTAGAGGACCTGAGGGAACAAATTGGTCCCTCAAAAAAGTTAGGACCATTTTGGTCCCTGACAAAAAGTTGAGGGACCATTTTGATTATTTTCTCAATAGTTTATAAAAGACATGGTCCACATGGGTCAATCGCAAGAAAAAGCAACATTTTATGACTTTTACTAAACAAATATTTAAGTCATTTATCAATCGTATGATAGATTGTTCTCAAATGAATAAATTTGAAGCCATGCAACAACAAAAATTTTATAAACTTTATTTACCATACAAATTAGTCAAAGCTAATAGACTATTCACTTTTTACATGAACTAGATAAGAGTTAATATGCCCCAACACTTATTATTATTTTCATTGGGTTCGCAAATATTACCAGTTGAAAAAAATACCTCATCAAAGCTTTTTCCTAGATGCCTTGCTCTCTCTTGTCTCTCATGCTTCAGCCTTCTAAAGAGACGTTGTTCAATGTGATCACTAAGAATAGTTTTTGGTAAATCTTTAGCACCAAGTACAGTATTCTGAGGCAAAGGCTTGCGTTCTCCTTTTTCTATCTCCTCTATGTAGCAATTAGGACATGTGTACTCTGCTTGTCCACCATCATTCCTTCTACCATTAAAAAGAGCACAAATTTGATGTTGCCATGCTTCACACTTGTCACATTGAACCCACTGTGACACAGAACAAACCGAAAGATCTATCAGCAAACAATAGGCAATAAGTTTGCAACCTCAACCACCTACCTACGAGCAGGGAGAAAAACCAAAGCGAACTGAAATGAATTAAGGGAGAAGATTACCCATTCTTCAGTTTCTTCATCATTTTTCTTTTTCTCAAGCCTCGACTTCGGAAAGGTCGAACCCTCGGCTTCAATAGTGTCACATCTAGCCTCATTGTAGCATGGAATACAAAAGTAGTGGCGTGTGTCACCAGTCCCCACAGTATAATACATTGCATTTCGCTTTATGCGAGCTCCACATAGTGTACAGTATATAGGAGGAGGTTCAAAGGTAAGTTTCTCCACCGCACACAACTGACATGAGTTTTCACTCATTGAGCGTTCCATGGCTTGATTCTTTTCTGCTTTGGCTTTGCTCTGCAACAAAATATTATTTTTGACATTTTAATCCATCAATGAAGAAAAATAAAGTTTCTAGCAACAAAATTGCATGCAGACGGAGCTGAATAAAAAATAAATTGCTGGATTAGTGAGAAACTAAGCTTATGAGTTCTAGTCAACTAATGAGGAAGGAGTGATGGAAAACAAGTTAGAGGGAATTACAACATCCAGAAACATCATGAATCTAAGGAAATGTACAATAAACTAGAGACTAATATCAACCATATATATGACACGAGACCACAACACAAATCCATTTAAAATAGTTGCTGATGCTCATAAAATGGATGACTACAAAAGTATGGTGGTATTTGAGATTTTAAGGCGATGATTCCTTTAGGTGGAGATAAATTAAAATGTAAAGACAAAGAGAAGAAAGATGCAGGAGACTAAACTACATATAGTCAAGCTAAATGTGTGAAGCAACTTAAGCTGCCTCTATGAATTTTTAGTGCCTTGGGCCTAGTATATAAAAGAGTGGAAACAATTAAAAGGATATGGCTTTATAATTAATAAATGTTGAAAAATATACACATTTTTCAGTATATTCAACCTGTTAAATACAAGAACGGAAAACCTGAAAATAAAGCTAGATTTTTAAAAGGCAGTAGCTAACATAGCTCCTCATCAGAAGGACCAACTGTAAATGAAGTAAAATTCAACAAAAAAGGAACATGATTAGTTAATTATATAAACCCAGTGTAAACAAAAATAAATGATATTGTTTTGATAGATATGGGTTAAAAATGAGAAGGATAAAATGTGAAATACCTGCACTAATAATAGAGTAGTTAATATCGACGTGATAGAAATTAAATTGACCTGATTTGTTCTAACATGACAGAGAAGCACAACACAAAAAGAATTTGAATTAATTAGAAAGAATTGAGAAGTGAAACGATAGTTCAAACCCAAAGTTAGAAATAGATCGAAATGATTAGGTAAAACTTAATAAAATTAAATGTGGCTAAAACATTAATGTATTGCAAGTTGTATTCCAAAAGACAAGCTTAAATAGTTGAACAAGGCTTAAGATGATAGTTTGAAATTTACTCAAATATATTTATTGTACTCCAAGTTCACAATCTCTGAGAATAGTGAGTGATGCATGAAAACATAACCTTCAAAAACTATAATGCGTGCTTCAATAAAGAAAAACATACACCACAAAGCTATAATTTGGGCAATGCTCATGGGGATGATAAATATAAATACATAAAAATGCATTAGGTTTCTAATTGCTATTCTAAGAATTTTTTAAGCATGCAAGTCAAATCTGCATACAAATAAATATCACAGTAAAATTATTCAATCAACAAAAGTCACAAAAATGGAAGATTAAATGAATGGAAAAGAATTCCTCCTTACTCAACCCCATGCCAACTAGGAAAATTTCTTAAGCAATTTACTCTAAGAATGGTGAATTTGGCATAACAAGACCGAAAAAAAAATGACTCATGTGGCATACACGTACTCACTAGGATACTCATACAACAAGACACTTTATGCATTACCGAAAAACTGCATTATATTGAAAAAGAAACTGAAAAAGGCAGAAGGGACTCACAGGGAAACTCGTCTACTATTATCCCACTTCTTTTCTTTATTTCCCCATACTTTTTCTCACACAAATTATTTACTGCAATGCATGGATTGAGTTTATTTCTAACAATTATTCTTTCCCTGACTCAAATAAAAGTGATGGTTGTACATATATTCTAATAGCAGCAGCCCACCCTCTTAATGACAATCATTAAACCATTCAAGAATAAGTTTGCTGGCAAAGGTACAAATAACAAGGCATCTTAGTCTATATTTAGCACAACAGTAGGAGAAATTATTCTGTGTGATCACCGGACGGCGTCCGGAAGCAAATCAGGACGCATCATGTCACTTTTTTGTTGTGTACCGATGTTGTATACCAGGTGACGTGTCACATCCTGATTCGCCTACGGACAGTCCAGTGACCGCACAGAATAATTTCCCCAGAAATAGGGGCATCCCCCACAGCAACCACCAACCATGTTGTTGCCGCAGCCACTGTAAGGCATGGTCCTATCCACAGCTTCCTCATGCAGGCAGAAAAAAACACCACCTGCCCACGTGCTGGTCATAAGGGGAGCCCAAAGCAGTGCATAGCAACTTGCACGCTGTGCACAGGATTCCACTATCAGTTTTAGATTAATTGAAATTCTAATGATTATGTCAAAAAATGATTTCGCACATCAGAGTTAATAATCATGTTGGCCGAAAGGTAATTTCACCAAACAAACACTAACAGTTGGATAAGAGATGATACGATTTTAAGAACATCATTAAAGATCAATACATCAACGAATCAACGTCTTTAAGATGTTAATAAAGAAATCATAATAAAATCTGTATCTGCCAAGTTCATCTGCAAATTTCTTGAGCATAGAGAAAAAAATAAAGTTCCCTCAATATTTTGAATCTGCTCTACATATGAACTATTTTGACTCAAACAATTCTTTTTTTTTTTTAATTACAAAATTAATGAACTCAAACAATTCATCTTTTTCAAGCAAACTCCATCATAGGTTTTACCAAAAAAACAATCTGAATAAGTTATTTCACTGTGATTGGTTAGCACTATCAATTTTAAATTATGGAAATTGTAAAGTTGTTGTAAAACATGATTTCGTACCTTTGGTATTAGTAATTATGCTGGCCAACAAGCAATTTCACCAAACAAGACTAATAGTTGGACAGGTGATGACACAATTTTAATAACATCATGAAAGTTCAATACATCAATGAATCGACGTCTTTAAGACATACAAAAAGAAATCAAACTAAAATTTGTACCTGTCAAGAGAGCCAAGTTCAACTACAATTTTCTCCATCATAGAGAAATAAATATATAGTTTTCTCAACATTTTATATCTTCCCTAAATGTGAACTATTTTGACTCTGAAACAATTCATCTTTTTCAAGAAAACTCCATCTTAGGCTTTACTAAAGAAAATCTGAATTAGCCATTTCACTTTGATTGTGCACAGAAGTAAGAAAAAAAAAAGTTGTTTTAGCGTAACTTTTTCATTCATTATTCACCGCATCCTGTCTTGCTCCCTTGACAATTTCTGGTGGTCTTATAGTTATTCCTATCAGTCTCTTTTTAAATAATTCAGGTCAAGGTAAGTAATGCTAACAGGCAAAAAAAGCTGCCCAGAAATTTGCCACATGGATGTCAAACAAATACACCGAATGAGCAGTCACAAAGTCTCCCCTAAAAAGGAGCTATTTAAACAATAAAAAAGTTGGAGAGAAAAAAATTCACATACAAGCTCCCACTAGTCACATTGGGATGCCCGTAAAAGGTCTAGAACCAAGAAAAGAAGCCCATTTGACATTATTAACACAAAAGCTCATCTAAACATGCTTCACTAGTAGTCTATATGTAGAGCTCCATTACCAATCCTTGGTGCCTAACGAGACTAGCCACTAAATATTGTGATGACCATATTCAAACAGGCACCTTCGCCAAAAACTCTTACACTTATCTTTCCTTAAATAACATATGATGTCAAGGAAAAAAAGATCTTAACAAGACTTCAATAAGGGTGGAGGAAACAAGAGGTAGTGATTGTAAGAAAGAGATAAAAGGTCGATTGCAGTGATGGGGATATCAAATAATTTTCAATAAAGATAATAATACAAAGCCATTGAAATGGAACCTAAAGAAAAGGAGATCAAGATCCTCAGCAGCTAATATGAGAGCAAGCAAATCAGATCACAGTTAATACTCTCATGCAACAAGATCTGCCTACTTGAGCACTCGACAATTAGAAAAAGGCATTGCATAGCGCTTGCCACTTATAACCTGGACAAACTTCCGCCATGGCACCTCCAAAAATACCGAAGAATAAAATAGTTAAATGGGCCTTTGGCAGAAAAGTGAAGAAACAAAACTAGTTGATCTAGTCCAAATTGTTGCTAGAAAGAGGTTGAATGAGAACCAAAAGGTAAGAGGTTTCCAACACTATTCTTAATAACATAGAATGCAGAAGACTACTTTGAGAGACTGGTTCAAGAAGATACAAGCTCTTAGATCTCCCAAAAAAAAAGCTATGGATCTTTATCAAATGGTCAAATCAAACAGAGATGATAAAATGATATTTATAGATAATGAGAGGAATCGTATTTTGTATGAATCTCTAAGTCAGAGAGGCAGCGTAAGGCATAGGGAGCAAAACAAGCATGCATCAATCTTAGATCCTTACCTATCATCACCTTGCTAAAAGAAATCTTTCTATCTGTTCAACAAATCATGGGCCTAATATGCATTGGTGAAATTACTAATATAAATGAACATGATCCCAATCTCCAATATTTATGACAACTTAAAGTCAATGTATTTGACATAAGCAATACATTTAAAGTATACCATACATTTAGAGCAAGTACTATGATTTGATTTATTCCTAATTCTGTTTCTCATTTAATCAATTTTGCCAATACACAGTGCAAACAGGCTTTCAAGATATCATGAATTTCATAATATATGTAATTATATCTTAGTGAACATGGCATAAAGTAAAAAAGAAAGAGGAAAATAGAAAATAGAAATAGTTTGCAGAAATCATAATGCATAATGCAAAAGAGCATAAGTGGGCAAACAAAGTTATGAAAACCGAACAAAACATAGAACTGGAATGAGAGGTTTAAGATTCAATGGCTCCCGTGGAACCTTATGACCTAATATATATTAAAATAATACAATTATTATAATACAAACTATACAATAAATGAAATTTTTCAAAGTAAATATATAATTACCTCAATTAAGATTTTTGAACAAACTCTATTAAAGAGATATAAAGTACATTAAGAAGCTTGATTAATTATTATTATGAATATATATATATATGGCATTAAATATATTTACAAAATTTAAAAATATATATAATATAAATATAATTTATAATAAGAATAATATTTAATTTAATATATAAATT